TCGAGGCCAGCCTGGGCTACCAAGTGAGTTCCAGGAAAGGCTCCAAAGCTACACAGAGAAACCCTGTCTCGAAAAACCAAAAAAAAAAAAAAAAAAAAAAAATCACAGAGTATTATATACTCACTAGAAAGGTTGAACTAGAAATGATTAAAATACTAAAATAGCTGGGTGGTGGTGGCACACCACCTTTAATCACAGCACTTGGTAGGCAGAGCCAGGTGGATCGCTTTGAGTTCCAATCCAGCCTGGTCTACAGAGTGAGATCCAGGTCAGCCACCAAAACTACACAGAGAAACCCTGTCTCAAAAAACAAACAAAAAACAACAATAAAAACTAAAATATTAGATGTGTGACAAATGAAATCATTCTATATTAATGGTGAGACTATAAATGGATGTAATTATTGAAGGAAAATTGTAGTGGGTAGCCATTCCAGCTTGGTTCTGGAAGTTCCAGCCCCCATTGAGACTCTGGCAACTGTCACGCCTACGAGGCGGGGCGAGGGGAGGCGCCTGGGGACCCCAGAGCTGGATGGGCGAGCGCGCTCGCTGGGCGTGCTCTCGGTGCCGGAACGCTGACCGGTGGAGATTGACTGTGCAGAGCTCCGGAGAACACCGCTGGACTGCATTACACCTTCCCCAGACCCTGCGACCTACCCATTACTTAATTTGTGAGTTACGCCATTAAATAAATATCCTTTTAACTACGTGGAGTGGCCAAAATAATTTCTCCAATATCTGGCGCCCAACGTGGGGCATGAACCCACGACCCTGAGATTAAGAGTCTCATGCTCTACCGACTGAGCTGTGTGGAGTCTGTTTCGACGCCAGGACCCCCGAACAGACGATGATGCTGGGCGCGGAAGGTGGAGAGGGCTTCGTGGTGAAGGTCCGGGGCTTGCCCTGGTCCTGCTCCGCGGACGAGGTCCAGCGGTGTTCTCCGGAGCTCTGCACAGTCAATCTCCACCGGTCAGCGTTCTGGCACCGGCACCGAGAGCACGCGCCCAGCGAGCGCGCTTGCCCATCCAGCTCTCGGGTCCCCAGGTGCCTCCCCTCGCCCCGCCTCGTAGGCGTGACAGTTGCCAGAGTCTCAATGGGGGTTGGAACTTCCAGAACCAAGCTGGAATGGCTACCCACTACAGAAAATATTTAGTGAATCCAAATTTATACATACATCCTATGAACTATTAATTCCAGTTCTGTATGTATGTGTGTATATTCGAAAGAAATGCACATTAGTAAACAAGATAGATGTATCCAAATATATTAACATATTTATAGATAATAGTCATACTGGAAAACAATGAAAAGACAAAATAAATATAAGTATATACATGACATCAAACACTAAACAGCAATTTAAAAGAACAAATTACTAATCAAATAATGGGGCTTTCTGAACAGAAGAGTAGGCAAAAAATACACAAGAAAACATAAATACATTTATATAAAATTGAAAAATACAGCTAAGCTTGAAATTTTCAAAACTGCAATTAGATCAAAAGGTCACAATGAAATTTTTCTAGCACAATGAAAATGGTCCCCTAAGTGTCCTTCATCAGTATCAGTGGGAGCTTTTGTATTTAAAGGTAGTCAAGTCCTTTCTCTGATAGAGTACTTCAATATAGTCTATAGATACATTCCCCTATGTATTTTAACTCAAATCTTAATTACTTATAATATGTAATATAATGTTAATACTATATAAGTAACTATGTCCATCCCCATGCCCATCGCCCCATTGTGGTGCTAGAGACTGAAACCAGGGTCTTATATATGCTAGGCAAGAACTCTACACTGGGTGTATACCTAATATTTTTCCAAATGTTTTCAATGTTTAGGTGATAAAAATCCTTAAAACTAGAATCTTCAGACAGAGTCAGATCCATAATGTGATCTTGGTTATGGTTACATGAATACAAAAGTAAAAGTACTAGAATTGAATATACTCTTAATATTTTATAATTTATATACATATACAAATTTAGAAAAACCTGTAAATTCAAGTCCTCTGACAAAAATCAAATACCGCTGTTCTGCTAAAGGAACTTAGCATAAAATGACTCCTAGTATCATTCTGCTATATACTCATAGGTCAAGATCATCCTCATCTATCAGAGAAGCTTCTTCCTTCAGTACATGAGAGCAACTAGACAATGTGTAGGAGTAAAAGATCTTACTTAGACACTCAGTCCTAAATGGTTATCTCCATCAAATCCCTGCCCTCAGTGCTCAGGGAAGTTTTCCTGAGAGGAGTCAGAAAAACTATAAGAGCTAGTAAGGATGGAGGACATCAAGGAAAACAAAGCCTTCAAAACACAACAGGACTGACCCACATATGAATGCCCAGCCCTGCATGTAGGCCTAAGCTA